AAATCCCTAACTTAAAATTCTTGGTAACAATATTTTAATAACAAGAATGGGTAAAGCTTAAGTTGCACATGAAAGAGTGATGGATTTTTCTTCTAGTTTGGCCGGAAAACTAATTTTTAAAGCTACTCAAGGCATAGGTTGCATGGAGCCCTATGAATAGCTTTGCCCTTACTCAAATTCTAAGGCTAATTCTTAAGCTAATAAACCTTACTGCTAATTAGAACTCTACAGTGATAGACATGACATTTCAGATGGGCTTCTTACCAAATTTAACAGCTTATTCCAGGGAATAGGTAAAGATATTTGAAAGAGGATATCCACATGGTAGTCTTAGTTTTCCAAGAAAAGTAAGACAATTAGAAATAGTCCACAAAGTTTCGGGAAAATGCAGTATTACCTTTATTTTTTTGGTCATAAAGAAGTTCTGTGGTCTTGGACAACAGTACGCACCATGCTCATCCTATTCAAATGCAATTGGACTAAAGCCAGAGCACATCAAACCTGATTCTTGGTGTCAAGCATTAAATTCAGAATCTCAGTACGCTTTTTTTTTTTTTTTGCCTAATGAAAACCTCTCCATCATTTATTTGTAGCCATTATAGTCACAAAGAAAATTAATGAAGCTGTAATTGAAAAAAATATGCCTGCAAAGATCAGGAGGCATCTAAAATTACACTCCTGGGAGATGTGAACATCTGCTTTTAATTCTGCAACCTGTTGATGTTGTGAGCAGCAATAATACAAAAGCACCTCGTGTTTCTATGTGTATGCACCTAAGAAGGTAAAGGCTGAAATTTTTTATCACTAAAGGAAGCCCTTACCTCTGCAGACAAAGTAGAATGGAAAAAAGGTCTCAGTGGCTATGGGAAGACAATTTGACCCACTTTCACCCAAGGAAAAGTAGAGCGCATTAGAAACATTTGGGCTTGAGCAAGAAGAGCCCTAACTTGCCTTAGTGTGACTCTGTGTGTGCAAACTACTTGGTCTATATTTGAAGGGGTCTAAGTGATTTATAAGCCTCTATGAGCTCCCTCCACCTGCCTGGATGTCTCCTGATGAGAACACAGAAAAATCCCAGATTTTTTTTTCTCATACAGAAATCTTAAACAGGTTCTCTCAAAGCTGAGAAAGCTGGCAAGCATATGGACCACATTTTCCCAACAAGACCACCAGTGTAACACCAGTAGCTTTTCCTGTTCCCCTACCAGCCAGCAGAAAAGGGATGTGAGCCAACTCTTCTTCTTGGTCCCAGAGGCACCGTAGGCAGGACCCTGGTGGTGCTTTTTTGGCTGTTACTTCCCCTTGCCAGGTACCTGCTCATGGCAGCCTTGGAGACTCCTGATCCTTTTCTGCCGCTAGCCAGGAGTAGCATGACTCAATATTGACTGCACCACTCATGTTCCTTCCTTTCCAACAAGCTCAATTAATAAGGCACCAACTTTCCGCTTTTCTTTCCAGAGCAGGGATCCAGACCAAAGACATTTTTCTGGAATGTCTACATGAAGTTTGTAGCATCTGAAGGCCAAAGGACTTTCCTATGCTCTGTGTTTAGGGAGAACAGATGCTGCATGGAAGAAGGGTAAGGAGAACAGAGAAATGGAGCCAAAGGAGCTCAACAACTCAGAAAATTTAATTTCCCTACATATTTAAATTGCTAAATGTGGGCAGCCAAGACTGAAAAAATTTGCTTTGTGCACATGAAAGAATTTGATGTTCCATTTTGCCAGTTGTGCAGACAGAGACACATGCAATATTTCCTACAGGGTTTGTTTGGCTTTTTTTTTTTCCTTCTTTAACAATCCATTTTACAGGGCAATTTCAAGAGATGGCTGTGAGCACGCCAGAGAGGTGCTATATCAAAACAAAGTACACCTGATTAATTATCTAACAAGGGAGATGTTTGCACAGCCAGTACCATTCATTTTTCATGTGACAATGCAGGCTTTAAGTGTTAGCAACCACTAAACCAACACTGCCAGAAGGATGTAGTTGCCATCCACACAATTTTTTCTTTCTGTCTCACACACATGAGTGTTCTGCCAGGGATGTCCCAAGTTCCAGCCCTAATATCTCCTTTGTACTTGTTTCAGTGACTTGTGAGCCATTTCAAATAAGGGTGTAGATTTTTAAAATGTCATTAAATTGTGGTTCAAGAAGATTTAGTAAAAACATTTTAAAATATTGCTAAATTATTACATTAGGGAACAAATTCCCTTTTCTCTCATCTTCATCAGATTCACTCTCCACTAATGAATACAAAGAATGAATCTCCAAGGAATTTATATTTGAGTTTTAAAGGAGGTTCAACATTTGGATTTAGCTATAACTTCAATTTCCTTTCATGAATATTTTATTTAAATCCTGTATTAATCACAGAGTCACAAAGATAGCCTGCCTTCTGCTTCTGCTTGCTCTCATTGTCTGTCACAGAAGCACTTTCTCTCAACCTTAAATATCGCTAATTAAAAATTTCCCTGAAGCCAACTGATACCTGTGTGATTAATGGGCTGGCTAATAAATAAAATGCACCATGCTACTTTAAGACCATTGTACCATAAAAGCATAGAAAGTGTGCCAGTGGCCTCATCATCTTGAAATATGTTTATTAAAGCAACAACACAGAAGTCCTAAGGGTCCTGAATTGCTCCACATCATTAATAACCAGATAAAGCTTACACTGAAAAACCTACTTCAGTTCATTATTCCAAGCAAGGAAACTATGAAAACAAGGGGAAAAGAAATCAGAAGAGTGAAGAGAAGCACAGGGCTTGTTTCTCAGATGAATAAACCACCATCTCATCCTTGGTGTGAGTGTGAACAACAGGGAAGGACTGGATGTTGCTGGGATAAAGCCTTTCACTCCCAGATTTCAGTTTCAAATGTGCTCCAGGTTGCTGAACACAGTGCCTGTCTGATGGGTCTTGTTTGGGTTAAACACTCTAGGCAGCAGTTTGAGACAGCTTGAGGCTCATACCCAAAACCAGGGCAGCTTCTGCAGAGAGGGTCATGGGGACTCAATTACAGCTTCATCTGTGCTTAGGGAAAATCTCTTTCAGTGAAAGGAGCTCAGGGCAGGTAACTGATATCAGCTTAGTCTGAAGTGGTGCACAAATGTTTCCCCCCACAGAGGAAATACCCACCTTATGGTAATAAATAGAGCAACACTGACAGATCAGCTTGGGTTAGTCTACAACATGTCAGTAACATCTACTCAGGAGCAGATCAGGGAGAAGAGATGCAGCCCTTAACAACCCCTCTGCCACCCTGATGTGCTAAGCCCAGTGTAATGGAACTCTAGGCAGGCTGGCCCAACCACCTTTCAGGGCAGGCAGAGGTGGCAGAACCAGGCTCACATCTCCTGTCTGGAATTTTCTGTGCATTTCAGTACAGACAGAAGCAGTGGGTGAAGCCAGATGGAAACACACATTGATGCTCTGAAAGAGAGGAGAGCTCTGCTATGAACTAAAGCTCAATATAGCTGACCCACACTGCACCAGTGGAAGGTCGAGAGTTTGTGAGAAATAATGAGCATCAACCCTTGCATCTCACCAGCCTCCAAGGCAAGCAGCCAGGCCTTGTTCTATCACATTCAAGAGCACTATCCCTGGTTAATCTGATGTGAGTCTGCCTCCACAACCCCAGTGCTTAGCACTCTGGATCCAATGCTGAAATTACATTTATTCATGCATAGTTTTCCTTTCCCCTCTGCCATTCTTTTCACAATAAGCACTGACTAATTAGTAGGTTGCTCACTCTTCGTTTAGCCTAGGCCTTTCCCAAGAGTTGCTTAACTCACTGATATACACCACAAAAACACACCTTTATTACAGGTCCATAGGAAAGCCACCAAAATCCTCTATGCCTTTCTCACCAAGGATACATTCAGCTTTTTTCCTTCACTCAGGGTTAGGAAGCGAGTTAGGCAAGGAATGGTTCTCAGTCTCACATTCTCAGTGTGGTTTGGCACTGATTAGTCAAAAAAAGAAGAGAATCTGGAACTCACTCTGCTCTTTAAATAGAATTCTCTCCCTCTGCCATGGTTTCAACTGAGCACAACAGCCAGCTAAATATGTATTGAAATAATTCAGCATTTCAGAACCCACAAAATCCACAAAAGCAGTTTCCATCATAATTGCCGATTTAAACCAAAAAAAATCTTTGTGGACATCAACAGAAGCAAGAGAGGTAACAGGTAGTATCAGCAGTCATTCCTGGTTCCCATTGAAATTCCTGCAGCCATTGAAGTGAAGGTCACTTTCTTCACAACAGCAAAATCAGGGTCATCAATTCAAACACACGCATCCATAACACATGCCAGCCTACTATCAGCACCAAAAGCAGACATTGTCCCTTCTTGTGTCAATTAAATGAACCCCATGACTACTCTTCATTGAATACAATTCACTGTCTTACCCCTGGTTTCCTCTGACCCCTTGAAATATTTTTGTTTTCAAATATTAAGTCTCTTAGTGAGGTCCAACTGAGTAGCCAGATTCATCCATGGCTATTTAAACTCACAGTGAGCTGGCTTAGGTACTACACAACAAATAAAATTTGCCTTAAATTAGGCTCAGCCACCCAAGGCCTGGGATGTCTCTCCCAAGGTCCCCATCATACAAACATCTGTACCTGAGGCAGCTCTCTGGGTGCCTCCTGTAGCCAGAGGAGACCAAACCAGCAGAGCCAATGGTATCAGGCAGAAATACTTCTCACTGAATGGAAATTACATCTTTTGGCTAAAACAAACACAGTTCTCCACTGGCTGACTCAGACTCTGCTCTGAGATGGCTGAAGTGAGCTGTTCAGCTGTAGATACCTGTGTTCTCAAAACAAACATCAACAAATCCTGCCCGAGTATTTACTTATTTAATTTATATAGCTGTTCCACTGAAATGACTGGCAATAATCACAGTCAAGCTCATAGATCAACAAGTTATTTAAAATCTAGCATGTTTACTCCATCTAAAGCTGACCAAAACTATAATAAAAATAACTCCCACCTGTTTGCACTTGTGTAGGAGGCCTCTGGTTGCATATAAACCACATGCATATTTACTGACCTCATCTTGGGTACGTCACCAAGACTTCCAACAGCAGCCACACACACACATAATTCTCCAGACTGACACACATAATTGCATGAGATGCATCTGTAAATACAAGTCATTTATTCTGCATAAACATAAGTTTCAGCTGAAGCCCATTTGATATTCATGCAGCAGATTTACATCCTCTCAGTGGTTCGTGTGGAGCTAATAATATAATGATATAACACACCTGCATGTTGGGATAGCTGTAGTTAAATGAGGCAGAGGTTTTCCTCAGCTCCTCAAAGTTGTTTAGGTGATATCAGCTTCACAAGAGGGAAAAGAGGAAATGTTATGTATGTGTTGCCATAATCTGGGCCCTCCTCAGAGGATTTTGAGTTTTCAGTGGAAAAAATACGTTTAAAAAGTGGCACAGTAAAAAAAAACAATAAGATTTTATTCGTATCTGCTTTGAAAATAAATAAAAGAAACAGCTCTATGAAACTAAGAATGCCAAATCAGAAAAGACTTTGTCAAAAAACTGAAGTTGTGAAAGGAGTCATAGGATGCTTAAGAGTCCCTTTGGCATTTTCATTGCAATTGTAGAAAATTGCAATCTGGAGCAGCAACAGAGCACATTTCAGGAACGCTTTGTATCATCCTCACAAAAATAGTTCACTACACATCTGCTTGTTTTCATCTACATGCTAGCAACATAAACTTCCAGCTTCTGAAGAGGATTGCATAAAAAAGGAATATAGTGACTCAGGTAAAATCATGTAGTTTAAATAACTCTGTCTTCTTACTGATGCACTTTAGGGTGCTAAATATTAGGAAACATTCTAGAACTTACATGTTCTAAGACTATTTAAAATCAAACAACAGCAAAAAAAAACTAGGGCAACAACTTCAGGGACCAAGTTGCAGAAAATACTGACTGTTAGAGGAATGTATACCTGTGGCATTGCATCAATTTTAAGCATCTCCTTTGCCAAAAAATTTAGTTTCAGGAAAACTGAAATACTGCAGGAAATCTCATCAACTTTTGATGTTTAGTTTGCAGAACAGGAAAAAAAAATAATAAAATAAGCTTTGTGATGTTTGAAAATAATATTTTAATGTGATAATTGATATTATACATTTTTAATAAGCTTAAACCAAACGAAATTATTTTTAGTATTTTTTAACCCATCTCAGTACAGTTGGAATTTGTACAGGAGTTACCTCCGGAGACAATGCTGATTTTATTCTGTCTCCAAATCAAAATGTAGCCAGAGCTCACCACCTCAGACATATTTCTGCTGTTCTCTCATCTCTGTTCCCAATACTCAAATATCAGAATCTGTTCCACTTTGCAGAATGTAATGGCATACACTTTCATCTTCACTGTTGCACAAGACAACTGGTGCTACCTTGCTTGTGTTTAAACTTAAAAATCCTCTACAAGGTGAAAATCATCAGAGTCATCACTGATACATCTATACAATAACAGAAGCCTCAATGCTGTGTGGTTTCAGAATGTGCCTTAGTCCATCCAGATGATAGAATTAGAACAGGTATGAGATATGAGTAAAATTTACATGTCTAAGATTTTTTCTGAGAATCACTGTAGCCAAATCCCACTCTCTATGTTGCTGCTCCATTGCTTATAGGAATTACAGGGGGGAAATGCATTTTTGATGCTGCCAAGAGAAGAGATCCCTTCACTTTCTGACATGCAATGGTTGTACAAAATACCTCAGATTGCATTTAACCAATGAATGACATCATAAACTTGAATCAGACACTGCTGGGAGCACAGCAGTTTTTTCTTATGATCCCTCAGTATGAGTTGCTAAACAGAAACATTTGTGTTGGAGTCACATTGTGGCTTTTGTAATACTCAAGACTTTGGAGCAAGTCAGTGAAAAGCTATTCATACACATTGTGTCTGGCTCACTATCCCACAAAGTATTTTAACTCTAATCCACAGACTAATGTTCCTGCAGTTTCTGAAATAGAAATCTCCTAATCCTGGCATCTGAGGAACTACTGCATTCAGATAAAACAGAGCTTGTTTTCTTTTTTTTTTTTTTTGTTTACAAGTTTAAATTTCGTTGTGAATTTCTCAAGATGTTGTAGATCATGGAGGGAATAAATTTTCTGCAAAAATATTAGTTAGTTTAATTCTTTAGCTTTTTTCTCTCTCCAAGCTTTTAGTTCAGATGAAATAAGGACCTTTTAAGGGTACTATATATAAGTCCAAAGGAACAACCCTCGGACATGGTTATGAGCAGAAACAAGAATTTTAACATCATTTTTACGCATAAAACACTTCTTTATGAGCTTGGTTCAATCTTCTCTGTTGAAAGTGTGAGAATTCATTCAATTAGTAATTGCAAAAGAAAAATTGCAAGAATTACATCAGGTTTCTAGCTCTGCATTGATCTCCTCTCATGGAGCAGTGGGATTCTCCAGCACAGAGGTGATACAAACAGCTGGCACAGAGGAGAAAAGGAAATAACATGTCTTAGTAGTGGATTGTGTCTGTAATCCAGGGGATCTAGTACAACCACAAATAAGGTAAACCCTAGTTAAAATCCTTAATCTAATAAATAAAGGTTTTACACAAAGGGAAACAATTTTAATTAAAAAGGCAGAAAGACCAAATCAAGAGAAGCTAGAATTTGAAATCTGAGTCTCAACAACCTACACCCCTGAAGAATATGTACTGGACTAATGATTTTTCATGGCAAGTTCATCCTTCAGCGCATATCTCCCACTTGCCTTTCTTTAACTCCTGGAATATTATCATGAACCTGAGAGGCTTCCCCTAATAAATTGATATTAAGACATTTCCCAGTAGAAGACTAATTTGTCAGATAATATTGAGCAAACTCTAGTTAGCTGAAAATGTGTCACATGTGGCTGGATTCAGCAGCTGCCATTTATTATATGGTGCCAACAGCACTCAAACAATGAGTAGAGGATTGCAGGTCTGACTGATCTTTTCTCTGGCCAGCATCATAAGCCCCTTTTCTCACTGAACAGCTACTCAGACATGAGACAAGTGGCCAGACTTGACTACTTACCACTCCTGCTACTTTTTCAATCCCTGGGCAGCATATTGTGGTGCAATGGAAGAGCCTTGAACAGAAAGATTGTAAAACAATGACGTTGTGGATAATTCCTGAGTCTTCTCCAATCCAGACAATCCATAGGTGAATGCAGAGCAGATGACCAAGTGACCTACGTTTATTGCTCTTTCCAGTTGAAGTTAACTGAAGGTTTTCAATCAGATATCTGTATCTGGAAATTCTTTACATTCCTGCATAGAGCATTAGCCCTTCCCTGAACAGCAGAGTAGGATGCTGTGTCTGGTCTCTGGAGTATGTGTAGGCTCCACATTTTCCCCTGGATGTTCCCCCTGAGGAGCTGACTGGACTTTACCACAGCTGCTTTCTGACCTGCAAACCCACGTTCATTCACTTCAAATCCAGGGTACAAATTTAGAAGAAATATACACACATCTCTGTGCACTTGTGTCTTGTTCTAATCAGGCATCAGACCTACTATATAAATAAAATATTTCAATACGGCTATTTCTTCTGTCACTACCAGCACTTACATTGCTATTTGGATGTAATTGCCAGTACAACTGCCTGTGCTCTTCAGCCTGATTTACAGCAGCCAATAAGGAAGCTGACAAGAGAGGAGATGCTGAGATACTACAGCAGGATGTCAGAGCAGAGACCTATCAATGCTATCTCTCAGAGATAAAGCTAAAGGAATCAGCTGGTACTGAAATACTCTTGCATTGTGTTGCATTTAAAAAAAAAAAAAAAAGGAAGTTTAAAAAAATAGAATAAAATATATTTTTTTCTTCCTTAGAGGGTTTATAATCTATAGAGACAAACAGATGTTCTCAAAATTTATGGATCAGGAAACTTGAGTTATAATTGCCATGAAACTAATTCACTAGCTTTAGCAAAGGAAGGAGAGAAAAGAAAAAAACTAAAAGCAATGTATTTCAAGAGGGCAGACTTCAATAAACACTGTAAATTAGTGGGTGAGATCTCCTCGGAAACAAGTTGAAGTGACAAAAGAGTCCAGAAGAGTTGGCAATTCTTTAAAGAAATGACAGTGAGAGCACAATCAGAAGCCATGCCAACATGAAGGAAGGATAGGAAGTGTAATCAGAAAACAATTTGGCTAAACCATGAGTTCTTCAATGACCTGGAGCTAAATAAAATGTACAGGAAGTGAAAACTACACTGAAATACTAAAGACAAATGTGAATGAATGACATAAATATGTGGGGAAAAATTCAGAAAGGCAAAGGTACAAAAAGAGAGGAAATCTACAAAGGAAGCAAAAAGCTTTCTGTAAGCACATTTGCAGTGAAAAGAACTCTGAGGGAAAACAGTGGCTTACTGCTCAAAGGAGAGAACAAACTCCTGCCAGATGAGTCCCAGAAAAGTGAAATATTTGGCACCTTTTCTATTTCAGCCCTCATTGGAAAGGTTAACTATGACTAGAAAAAACTATGATAAAACCAAGGAGCAGCAACTCAGGTTGCAACAGAGGAAGATCAGATTAAAGAATACTGAGGGTTCCAATTGCCAGTTCAGTGGGACATTAGGGCATTTATGCCAAGACAGTTAAAGAACTTAAGAACTTAAAGAACAGGCAGAATCAATCTCACAGGCATTAGAAAATGTCTTGGAGAATTCATGCAAGATCTGTAGGGTCAGAAAAGTGAAGAAGTGCCAGCAGACCACCTATCTGTAGGAAGGAATAAGGGAGGAGACAGGGAATTACCAGGCTGACAGTCTACCTTGATTCCTGGAAAAGTACTGGAACAAATAATCCAGCTCTTTCTAAGTACCTAGGTAGTAAAAAGGAGAGAAGTGGCAGCCAACATGTATTTGTCAAGATGAAATAATGTCAAACCCACCTAATTCCACTCTAAAACAGAGTAACGAGCCTTGTGGATAGAGGAGGAAAAGAAAATGTCATACATCTTGACTTTAGTTTCACATAATATTCTCACAAG